GACAATCGCCACTGACGGGGCAACCGCGCTCACCTCTCTGCCCGAAACTTCCGTGGCAAACGGTGCACAAGTTGCCGCGTGGCCGCGTGCCAGACCGAGTGGCACAGCGAAAGGCGCAACCGTGATCTTGCGGCCGAAGACACAACAAACGAGTCAGCGCCCCTGGAACAATACATTATGTGCATCGTGCGCCCGAGCGTCATGGCGCACAGCATGCACCAGACCGTGGGACAGCATATCTCGTTGTCAAGTGAGTTGCGCAGCTCTGCCCCGATTGCCTGTCAATCGTACTCAATATTGCTGCCTTGTTGAGTAAGTGAGCGGACGGCGTGCCTGTAGTGAAGCTGGCAGGCGGCGGTGGCCAGGGCCGCGCGTTGCGTGGCACGCAGGCTGGGCCACCTGCTTCTGCGGGGGAAGTTTGTGACAACGCTTCCAGGCAGCACGCGGCGCGACAGTAGTAGGTGCCAGCGGCGTGCCAGGACGCCTCATCCTGCAAGAGGGTCGGCGTAGACAGCGCAGCTGGGTCACCGTCGAAATTCGCCTCGCTGAAGAACCAGAAGACCACATGCGGCGGCTCGGAGTTGCTGAACTGGTTGAAAGGGGCGGATGGGACGAAAAAACCAAGTGAGCAATGGTCGTGGCATGGCCGTCGCATTGGCTGCGTCTGCGCGCGGTGTTTGCAGCGATCGCCGGATGCGTGTCTAGCTGGCTGCGGTCCACAATCGGGACAAGAACACGCATCGGCGACATCAGGCTGGTGATAAGGACATGCTGCCACGAGCGATAAATGGATATCTACTTCGATACGACCCCATCACGACGAGAGCTGCGGAAACGCGTGGGTACTCGGGCCTGCGCAGGGACGCGCGCCATGTCGAGGCAGGCGACAACAATGATGGTGAAGTCTCCCCTGACTGGTGCCACGGGAGGCGAAATAAATCGGAGCATTCGCGTTCAGGGTTCCATTCGCGTGGTGCGGCGTGCTTGAAAAGAAGCAATCCGACACTGCCGTTCACATCGCGAACCGTGGTGCTAGCCCAGGCTGGTGGCTCGCTGTCATGCCCAGCGCGAAGCCACGGCCAATGCTCTTTTGGGATGGGGTGGGTCGTGGGAGAGACGTCGTGGCGTCCCCGTGGCGCGTGCTTGTCATCGCGTAGCCTTCAGCTGCTGGCGCCCTCGCAACGGGCCCCTCCCGTTTCGCAAATGTCTGGCGCAATTCGTCGCATCGGCGAACGCCCGGGGCGAATAACCCGAAAGCCTGCAGCAGAACCATGATCACAAGCTGCTCATGAAATGGATGGTGGCACCAATGCGGAGGTTGATGGAAGTGCGAATGGGCTTCCACCCCGCGCTTTCCGCTGCCCGTGGATCGCGAGCTAAGATCGCTCCCAGCTCCGCTGCCAACTATGACTGCGGGTGGCACGGGTGAAGGGTCGAAGTCTCGGGGGCTCTGGTAAGAGCATAGCGGCGGCCTTTGTCTGTCTATGCGTCATGATATCGAATGGACGTTTGAGCCAAGCTGGCGGCGGGCGCGCGCGCGCCTCCTGGAGTAATGACGCAAAGACAAATGATGATGGAGGAGGAGGACTAGTAGGTGGAGGGGAAGGAGGAGGAAAATGGAGAAAATATGAAGGATGAGGGTTCGCAACTTTGGAAGGCCCCCATGGGCTTTTACCTTTCCCAGGAACACCCTCGGGAACCGGACGGGAGGAGCGAGCGGCGAGAAGGGGGGGGGGGGCGATGGATAATGATAGTGCAAAGAAGGGTGCGCCCATTGCTCCTGGCCCTGCTCCCCCCCCCTCCTCTCCTGCCCCCCCTCCCCACCTCTTTCCGAACGCTCTTGAAGAAACTCGGCCACCCTATCAACTATCGAGATCCGCTCGCATCCCCGGGCGTCTTCCTCGGGGGCGGCGCGCTGTCCAAAGAAGAGACGAGGCAGGCAGGCAAGCGCGCGAGACTTGGGTCGGGCAAGCCCCCCAACAGGCCGATTTTTGACGAGAGGTCTATCCAAAACATATTCATAAATCATCCAAAATGATAAAGACGTCGCCCCCTGACTGCGGTCGGACTATTTTTGGATATTCCTTCTGTAGAGGGGCAGGGCCGACTTCGCACGAGACGAGAAGAGGGCAACGACGCCCAGGGTCTTCGCGCGCGCGGCGGCGGGCGGGGGGCGGGGCGCGCCCCCCCCCCCCCCCGCGCCGGCGGGGTCGGCCGAGCGGCCGGGCGAGGGGCCGACCTCTACTCGAGGAAGACCTGAAGGCCCGGCTGCCTCCGCAAGACCTGGCATCAGGTCGGGCATGTCCTCCTACAGGCGGGCCTGGGACGAAAAGTAAGTCAGATTCAGAACGTGCTCGTTGTCAAAAAAACACGTAATCAACAAATCGCCCCCAGACTTCGTTTAAGCCGCGTTTAAATATTCCCCCTGTAGAGGGGCAGGCCCAACTTCAACTTGTGGAGGAGGTCCTCAGGGCCCGGCCGCGTCCGCAGGACCTGGCAGATCCTGGCTTTGAGGGCTCTCCGAAGCCTCGGCGCTCCTCGGATGCGAGTTGCAGTCGTGTAATTCTGACAAGCGCAGCAGGCAACGTCGAGCAAACAACCGCCAATGAGACGAGCTGGTCGTCGGGGAGGGGGAGAGGCGGAAAGGCGGCGGCAACGGCAGAACGGCAGGCCCACGAGGACGAGCAGGCGGGGAACGAGGAAGGAGGGCGGAAACCGCGCGGCACTCTAGCACATGCAATAGAAAGTCCTGAGTCTTAGGTGGGACCACGAAAACTACGGGAGGTCGTCCAAGCATTGCAAATCATGCGAAGAACGGATGAAAACTCGCATAGCGGCACCTGGGCCAGGATCTCCTTAATCGCGCTGCGAAACAATACCTTCTGAGGCTCGGCGATTGGGCGCCGGCGGGCGGCGCGAGCTAACAGAGCGCGGTCAAAAGAATCACCAGCGCGCTGAATCAGAAGCCGATCCGTTCTCCCCTGGAACTCGGGGGCGCCAAACATAACGGCATCGGGGGCACGAGAGAACTCCGGGGGTGAATTCCGCGGCGGACGGTATAACTGGGGCTCGAATGCAGAGGGCGACCCCCCCGCGCAACGACACAAGTGGCGTCTTCACTGCGCTGGCTAAACAACGGGGCGATTTCCTGCGAGGAGGAGCGCCGCGCCTCGCGCGTGTCTCCCGAGAGGCCGCGGGCGCGACCGACGAGCGACAGCGCGGCGCACGCGCGCCGCGATGGCGGAGAGGGCAAGGTGGAAGAAAGTGTGGAAGGAAGGGCGAGTCCAGGAAGATCCCGCCCAGCATGAGGTAGGAGAGCAACGCGGAGCCGCAGGCGAAACCAGTGACGGGGAGGGCGTAGACGTCCTCCTTCGCGCGACCCACAACCCAGACAAGTCACCCACCCGGGCAAAGAACATGAGGGAAACAGCAACAAGTCAGACACGTGTGAAATGTTGCCACTCGTCGTACGGATGGAAGGTCATGCCGACACCTCCCTCCAGCGGGAGGCCCCAGGCAACGGGCGCCCCGTGGACCTCCTCGTGGCTGCGCGCCACGACCACGAAGTCGACCTCGTGCACGGTGCCGCACAGGCCGACAAGAATTTGACGAGACGAGGGCGGCCACGGCGTCGCTTACCTGGCACTTCTGTTTTCAGATTACCTCTGACTTGGACCCTCATGTCTTCGCGGAGTACCCGGCGCGCGCCGTCTTTGCGGTCAGACTCGCCATGGGCTGTTAGCGGCTCCAGGGGTGGGCCCAGCGGCAGCACCTGAGGCCAGCTCGCGGCGTGCAGCCTCAGCTAGAGAGCAGCCCTCAAATACGTTCCCAACAACCACTAGGCTACTTACCACCGCCTGAGTGGCGTCGCGAGCTTCACCATGGGTTCGGCTCGCGGCCATCGCCCCGCTAGCTTCTCCATTGGCCATGCTACCTGGGTGCGGTCTGTCACCGTGCCTTTGACTTTCAGCGCCGGCGTCGCCTCGACCAGTGAGACTGCGCAAACTGTCGTGGACCTCGTTGTCCTCCACGCGACGAGCCTCGGAGCCCATGTCAGCCCTCGCTCCGACCGGAGGACGGGTGCTTCCAGCAGCAGCGCCGCCCGACCCCTGCCCCGCGACCGGATCGCCGACGGGGGCGCGGGCAGGCGGCCGTGCGGCAGGCCTGATCGGCAAGACCGCCGACCCAGGAGTGGCACTCGGAGTGGACACACCCATGGAGTCGATCGGTATGGCGCTCGAAACGGGCTCCAGCTTGGCGGGCGCGTCATAGGCGCCCGCCCCGTCATCCCTCGGTGGCCCGGGCGCCGCGGGACCATTTTGAACGAACTGTTTGGAACGTATTTGTCCTGCTCGCCAGCCGTGGGCCCGAATGCGCCAGTGAACAAACCTGGGGCCCTGGTCTCCGCGCCTCGCCAACTTGCGCATCTCGGATGCTTCCGCCCTGCCCTGGCAAACCTCCCACGCGCCGAACGGAAGGGCAAAGAACTGGCTGCGTCACTGGATGATTGTCGCTGGCCTTCGACTGGGCATTTCTTCGCCCCTCCTCCGCCTTTTAATCGGAGAGCTCCGAGGGGGGCGCTTGGGGCACCTGGGCAACGACAGGAAAAATGACAGAGCCGCCGTCGTCATGCCCACCATCCTTGCCGGCATTATCCGTAGGAGGCTTCTTCGGAGGCTTGAGGAGGGGCTTCGTCTTCGTCCCTATGACGCCTCCGGCGCTAGCGCCATGGGCGCGCGCGCGCCTTCTTCCAGACCCGCGGCAGCACAACGCGATGAGGTGCCAACAGAGAAGGGCGCGCCACTATCAGCCTTATCGCAAGGGACGGGGAACCGACGCCCATGGAGCGTCGATGCATCGTCGTCCACGCGCTCGACCTCTTCCGCGCCCTCGGGCTCAGGCGCCCCTCTGGCGCGCCGTCGACGACGAGGCGTGGCCCCAAGAGCAGCCGACTGGGCAGGAGATGCGGCGCGCGGAGCGTCAGCTCTTATACCTAGCGCCTGCTCGAGGTGGCTGCTGCGCAGCGCCGCGAAGGTCTCCACGTTGAAGGACAGGTGCACCTGGTGGCAGCACGTCTGGCGGGGGATCGGCCGCTGGTGGAGGAACCGCTTCGCGCGGAGGATCTGCACCTGCGTGTCGAAGATGCGCCCGGGCATCTTGGAGGAGCAGATCCCCGTGGTCTGCTCGCTCGCCAGCCTGAAGGCCCACGACTGGCGGAGGAAAGCCCACTCGCGGAAGATCCACCGCTCGCGGTCGATCAGCGTCGCGCGGATGCTGATCGCGAGGGGGGCGAGCTCCATGTTCACGGTCGGCCTCCAGCACCTGGCGCAGGGCGCGAGCCGGGCGGGGGGGCCCCTGGCCCCTATGCGCCTGCGCCTCCGCGAAGACTCGCAGGAGGTGCTGGGCGGCCCGCCCCTGCGCCCGCGCCGCCTGGGCGCGGCGCGCGGCGGCGGGCCGATAGGGGCGGCGGGCGCCACCCTCCCGGGTCGGCAGCCCCTCCATCCCGCGGGCGGCGGAGGGAGAAGAGGGGGCCGGAGAAGGCGGGTGGGGGAGGGCGCGGGCGGGGCAGGGGGGCCCCTAGAGAGTGCTCGCACGGCCCCGAAAGGCCTTGGACCGAGTTGGCGCTTCCTGCGAGGAGGAGGAGGAGCAGGAGGAGGAGGAGGAGGGGGAGGGGGAGGCGGGGGTGGGGGGGGAGGGGGGGGGGAAGAGGAAGGAGGAGTAGGAGGATGAGGAGGGGGGAGGGGGGGGGGGGAAGAGGAGGAAGAGGAATGCGAAGGGGAGGGGAATTTGACATTCATGGCGAGGCGGAACATAGCAGCGCGAGCAAAAGGACGCAACAAATCCGAGCCCGCGTCGGGCAGCCGAGACTCTTCAAACGATGTCAGATGAGCCGTCTGCGCGCGATGCGGGCCCCTTCAGCGAGCATCTGGAGACCCCGAGCCTCCTCGAGGGAATGCGCAATGGCGGCCAGTCCACAAACCTTCCACAAGAAACCCGACCCTGACACCACAGGACGTCCATCGATTTTTGGCGCGGGAGAGTCGCACTTCTCGCAGCGACACCATCGGGGCCCAAGACACCAAAAGCACCTTGGAGGCAAGCAGGGCGTCTCTTGGCATGGGCCTCCACTGTGGGAGTCGGGGGCGTGGATGTGGGCAACGACGGGGGGGGTCGAGAAATCGTGCGCGCTGTATCTGGCCAGGCTCTTCAGAGGGCCCGGGTGCGAGGCTTTGGCGGCGGCGACCCTGTCGAGGTACTTTTTCCCAGGCGCGGGCCGCGACGTCCTACTCTGAGCATCGATGCGAATCGTCAGTCCGAAGAAAAAGCATTCCCGCGTTCTTCAGCTGGACCCCCCCCCCTCGAATCCCGAGCGCACGGGCGCGAGAAATCATGCCTGGTCGGGCAGGCGGGGCGTGGCGACCTGGACCCCCTCGAGCTTCGCAGCGAACCCTGAGCCGCCGGCTGCGAATAGCCGCGCGGGCAGAGCGGCCGCCGGCACATCGCGCGCGCTGCCCCCCGCAACGCCGACGTCGCCGGCGAAGGCGCCGGTGCGAGAGAGATCAGGAGGGGGCGGGAGGGCACGAGCATCAGGATGGGGCCGAGGCAGACGGCGAAGATAGAGCCCGACATATTATCAAGATGGGGTCGAGGCAGAAGGCGAACATGAAGCATGAGCCTCAGGAGGGTGCGGGAGAGCACGGGCCTCAGGATGGGGTCGAGGCAGACGGCGAAGATAAAGCCGGACGCGTTATCATCCCTGTTCGGTGCCGCGGGCGCACCAGGTGCCCGAGCGCGGCGGCGCCGGGGCGTGGCGCGCGGACCCATTCTCCGACTGCAGAAGCTTCATTGCCCAGCGAAACCTATCGAGGACCCCCAGGAGCTCCATGCTCCACTGGGTATATTCGCGAGGTAGGCTAGGGGGCCAGCCTCGACGTCCCAACGAACACGCCCACTGTGGAGTAGAAACTATTGACGCGAGTAATGACGCATGCTAGCCTCAATGCCAATCATGTTCTCGAACATGGATCTCCCTTTGACAGAGCCCGCCTGGTGTTTCCTATAGGCAACCTGACAGGCGTGCCCCAGAAAATTGTTCAAGGCCGGGCAACAAGTTTGTTGCGCGCGTTATGCCGACTGCGATGGGTCGGGCCTCGTCGGCAGCTCGACAGGTTTGAAACGCGTCGGGCATGGCCTCGCCCTCCGCCAGGAAAACTGCGAGGGCGCGGTTGGAGCCCTCTCCGACAGGCGCGCCGGCGAACGCCGCGTCGTCAACGAGTTGGGGCGAAGAGGGCGCAGAGGCGCCGCCCTCGCAGCCGGGCCGAGTTGGCGAGCCCGCCGGGGCCCTGGCGAAGAGTCCTTGGCCCGCTTACGGATGGTCGCACGGGTGGGGCGGCCTGCGCGAACGGGCGAACGTGCTCCAGCTGGTCGGGGAGACAGCCGTGGCCGTGGCGCCCGTCGCCCCAGTGCTGAGCTAAGAGCGTTTGGCGACGTCCTCGGGGTCGGAGTGTTCGGGGCCCGGGGGATCAGTCGCGCCCGCGGGGCGGATCAAACGGCCTCCAGAGGCCCAGGCCGAACGGCGCTGGCAAAGCTGGCGCTGTCGAGCGAAACGTTTTGCGGGCCGCGAGTCCTCGTCGCGTTCGGATGCCCGAATTTCGCGCTGAAGAGGTGCAGGGGTGCTCGCTGCAGTGTGGATATCCGCTTATGGGGGCCATCCAGGCCATGCCAGAAGGGGGCGCCCTGGCCCAGGAAGGGGCCCCGAGCGGGGCAAGCGCGGTCGGCGCGGCGGGCAGGTGCAGAGCTCTTTCCACGCGCGGCGCGCGCAAGGGCCAGGCGCCAGGAGATCTTCTCGGGGTCTGTCTCGGCAGATCGGATCTCTCAAAGAGTCGTCGAAGTCCTCGCGGCGCGCCAGAGAATTTCCTTTGTTTTTTCGAAGCGATCCCGGGGGTCAGAGCTGAGCTCGCCAGCGCCCAGGAACGTCCCCTCGCGCGCGTCGGGGTAGTTGGGGCGTCGCGAAACCCATCTCGGAGGCTTGAGGTGACCTGGGGGCTCAGAGTGAAGGGCGAGGGCTAGGCGTGCCTGCGCGTGATCGGGCACGGAGCCGCGATGCGCAAGGTCGCCTGCGCTGATGGTGCTGGGCTGCAGGTCGAGCAGCTCCGCGGCGCACGCGCTGCGCAAGATGCGGTCGAGGCGAGCGGCAGAGACGAAGCCGTCGTCTTGCGCGCCGCGATGCGCAGGCATCTCCTGGATCATTTCGGCGCGCCAAGCAGCGGGAAGGGCGGCGTGTCTGACTAGATCTGGTTTAATGAGAACAATAGGACGAGAAGAATCTATTGACACAACGTGCTATTGATACGTTCCGGAGATTTTGGGATTTCTAAAAGCCTTCGCGGGGGGTGCACTTTGCGTCGAGTATTGTCTACTCTGGCTGGCGCCGCTGGTCGGTCACCCATTCTCCACCGAATGGTCGCCCGTAAGGGGCTATTTTGCAGTTGCTGACCCCCCTTCTCGTTGCCGAGCGCGGGGGGGGGCGGTGGCGCGCCGCCCCGTCGCCCGCCGCCGCGCGCCGCGCGCCTCGGCGGATTTCCAAAGACCTGGCAAAGCAAATCATGCGCGACTCTGGAAAAATCCCCAGGGGTAAAGATGAACAAATCCGGGAGCGTTTTTGAACATGTCCGGCCTACTTTTTGAAAAATACCATAATCGTTTTTGAAAATGTCTGGGGTCGGTTTTGAAAAATTCCAAAATCCATTTTGAAAAAATCTGGATGTCAGAACTCTTCAGATGTCCTGCGCGGCGGGCGCATTCCACCCCTCAGATTTATATATATATATATATATATGTTTGAAAATGCCCGGGCTCCTTTTTTGAAAAACTCCGGAACCGCCTGGGCAACAAACGTGCGGAAGCGTTTTCTGACGCATTCTGCAATCCAGAAATAATGCCCGGGCGGTCTGACGGGCGAGGCCGGCTTATTCACGCGCCGCGCCGCGCGCGATTGGGCGCAGCGCGCGCCGCGCGTTGCGCCCGCGAACAGCGCTCGAAGGGGCTGCCTCGAAAACAGCGCCATGGCAGCTGCGACTCGCGGACTCCCCAAGAGCAACACAGCATGCAGCTTGGAATCTTCGAGGGCGTTCCGATGCGCAAAAAATGCACCGCGAACGTCGCGCAAAGAACCTGCGCGACGGAATGCGCTCGACCATTCGTCCTTGGAGCCCGCGCGGAAGAACAGGGAAACCTGGGGATCTGGAATACTATCAGCATCAATACTTCATGCTCCTCTGAAGCGAGCCTTCCAGCAACGCGCTGCGCACCTGCCCCCTCCAGACAGAAGTCCCAGTCTCGCCGCGATGGAACGCGGACCCTGGGAGGCCGGGGCCGTCTTCTGGAACGCCTTGCTGTAAACGAACCTTCCGAGCAGAAGTCGGGATCGTCGGGGCGTCGCGAACACTTGCGATCTGCAGCGTGCCCTTGCTGCCGAAAAACGAAACCTGCACGGCTCGACCCGGCCGCGCGACAGACTACCGGACGCGCTGAAATTCGCGACGCAGTGCCTCGCTGCAAGAGCGACGCAGCCTCCAGCAGCGCGAGCCTAAAAGAATGCCCCAAAGCCACGGACGCCGCGAAGCTCATTGAGGGGGAGGTTAACCGAATTCTTTATGGTGCCCTCGGGTTGCTTGGAAGAGCTGCGCGATGCCGGGGAACCATGCCTTTTGCGACTTCTATTTTCCTCCTGGCGAGCCCGTGGTTGGGCCGGGCTGAATGGAGAAGCCGATGCGCTGTCCAGGAAGCAATGGAGATCGCGCCAGCGGCCCCGGAAAGGTCGGAATGCTCGGGGTCGGGGCAATGGCCGGGGTTGCCCCCGGGATCGGAACCGGAATAACACGAAGAGGAAGAGGTGGAAGAACTGCTGCTGCTGCTGGAAAAAGAAGCCGCGGGATTAGCTGCGCGCCCCCGGCAAGGCTGCCCGCGAACCCTGCGCGGCAACTCCACGCGCGACAAGGCATCGGCGTCCCGATTCGAACGGTGCGAACCCATGCTCGAGAGCGAGGGCGACGAAATTGTCGGCGCTCGCACGGTTGATACCGAAGGCCTCTAAGCCCCCGAACTTCACCTCGAAAGGGTGCCCACCCTTGCCGAAGCCAGGACCTCGACGTCGTCATCCGAGAACAGAATGAAGAGGAGCCCGCGAGGACAAATGCACCCAACGCGGGAAGTGGGCTTCCGCATTTTGCTCTCCTTCACGTGATTCAGCACGGCCCGCCAGAGGTGCCCGAGGGCCTTGTGGCGCGCGCGTACTTCAGCGCTGGCATCGCAACGACAAC